GAAACCCCCCCTTCCTGTGTAGCCTGGAGGGCGTACGCGTATTTGGCCTCGAGGGCAGTTATCCGGCGGAACATGCGAGGAATCGGGGACCGTGGAACGGCCGTTGGTTCGACTGCTAAAATCGGCACAAGTTTCGAATAAAGCAAGGAGTGGAATCTAAAAGGGAATGGAACGCAGCAATGATGGGGGAGGGGGAGGGGGAGGGGGAGGGCGACGTCAATTCTATAGACTTTAATGACGAAAGTATATTGATGGTGCTGGATTTATGCTACCCGGTGTTCTAATGTTTTAAAAATTTAGGTTTTATTGACACGATTTGAATGTATTCCTTTGTTTCCATGATTTCTGTCTCTCCCGATTCCACAGACTCCAGGCAGCCCCGAGCCCACAACGGTGTCAGCATTCCGTTAAAAGTTCTATTCACGATTTAGCAAAATGATTCCAAAGCAGAGAGCCAGTTATGGATCCATGACTACATACGTTCCCTTTGGCGTGAGCTGCATCGACTGCTTACCCATTTAGACCACAAGCCGAGCTGTGCCCGTTAGAATCTCTTTCAGTCGTGCTTTCTTTTACACGTATTTAGGGTGAGCAATTTTATACACGTGTATTGGGAAGTTACGATGTCAAATAGTCACTGAGGAAGTCAGTTCTCAGCGGGAAAGACTGTACTCTTTAGGTAAATGCCACCAGTCAATTTAATGGTTAAATATTGCAACATTAGGTTGTTCATTGTTCTACCTTATTAGGGACTCTGCATGTATCTTACATGAACATCGTCCTCTTCTCTAGTAAGATTGACCTTTTAAGGGAATAAATTCCTGAGAGCATTCTCATAGTTCCACTGGTGAATAAATGTTTAAGTTTCTCGGCATATGAATGCTGTTATCTATAAATATAAGAAAAATTTACATACTGATCACTACACATTTATCTAAAATATGCATTGTAATTAAAACAGATGGACACTACAAACTTTTGAGTTTAGAAGATCTGAAAAATGAAACAACATTGGAGATCGTGCTATGGGGCAAGCGGTCCTGAGACTGATTGTTTTCCTAAAATGGAAACATTTGGGGAAACACATCCTGGGGAAGAAATTACAGAAATGTTGTTAACGAGTTCTTAATTTTGTGCCTTTGATTCAGTCTTGATTCATGGCAATTCCATTTTCTTGGCAACATTTTCAGAAGTGGCTTGCCATTCTTCTTCCTAGGGCTGAGAGAGAGACGCCCAAAATCTCCCAGCTGGCTTCGTGCCTTAAGGCAGGGCTGGAACTCAGTCTCCTGGTTTCTAGCTGAGCACCTTTAACCATTAGATCAAATTTGATCATCATATTTTACTGAAATGAAGGCTCATAAGAACATAAGCAGGGCTCTGCTGGATCGGACCCCTGGCCCATGTACAGTAATTCAGCAGTCTGTTCTCACAAGGGCCAACCAACTGCTCAAGGGAGCCCACTAGTCTCCCAGCAAGTAGCCTTCAGAGGCAGTCCCACTGCCATCAAAGCTAATAGCCGTGGTTCCCCATGACTTCCATGAAGTGATCGAACTGTTTTTTAAAGCCAGCCAAGCTGGAAACCAGCACCACATCTTGTGGTAGTGAATTCCAAAGCTGAATTACACATTGTGTAAAAATTTATTTCCTTTTGTCTGTCCTGATTCTTCCAGAGTTCAATTTCATTGGGTGATCTCTGGTTCAAGCATTTTGGGAAGGGGAAAATAGCTTCTCCTTGCCTACTTTATCCATACCGTGTACAATTTTGTATATCTCAACTGTGTTCCCTCATTCACCTCCTTTCTAGACTAAAAAGCCCCAAATGTTGCAATCTTTCCTCATTGGGAAGCTGCTCCAGCCCCTCAGTCATCTTAGTTGCCCTCCTCTGAACCTTCTCTAGCTCCACTGTATCCTTTTTGAGGTATGGCGTCCAGAACTGCACACAGAATTCCAGATGTGGTCACACCATCCATATAAGGGCATTATGATCTGGGCATCTCTATGTACATTACTGTTTATTATCCCTAACATGCTGTGGCCTTTTTTACAACAGATGCACACTGTGTCAGCACCTTCACTGAACTCACATTTTAACAAACTGATAAAATTGTGAATGTTTGTCAGATTCAAAATAACTGCCACAGAAAGTTATCTTGATGGTTCTGTATTGTCTATAGTGCTCTAACAAAATGGGTGACATTTTCTCTAACTGGATCTATTTTTAAACTTTATCACAATGGTTGTGATTGATGTATTACAGACAATCATGTTACATAAATACATTTCCAGACCAACAGTGTGATATTATTATTTACAGGTTACACAGAATATAAAATACTTCATTTGTCCAGCATTCAGTTTCAGGAAGGAATCCCAAGCCTGTCCAGAAATATGATGCACTATGTAATTGAGTTAATTTGCTCATTTATTAGCCTTCCAGACAGATTCTTTATACTTGAAATTATTCTCCCATAAAATAACAACAATAATAGACACACAAAAAATCTGAAGATTAGAGAATACTAACCTGAAAAGGTGGGGAGGCATTTTGTTCACCAGGAATTTATGTAACATGTTGCAACAGGATAACTTAAACACTTTCCAGCAGAAGCCAACAGTGTAAAATCAGTCATTATGAAGTTTGATGCTATAGAATCACTGACTCAGACTAAGGGGGCTAACTCATCACAGACACTGAGCAATTTTAGACAGTTTATTCACTATAAACTATACCAAGTTATCATTTGCTATCTTAGCTGGGAATAATTTATTTGTACATTCATTTATTTATTCAAGTTATAGCTGCCAGACTCCAATGGATTCTAGTAAGTCAAACATACTTTGATTAGATTTTGTGTGAAACCTAATTTTTTTTTTGCTTGGGAGCCCATTTTTGAGTAGAGAAAGCTATAACGGTTAGTATTACAGCCTTTTCTGTTGCAGCACGTGCCTTCTAGAACACCATATGAGATCCAGCTGGCCCTGACTCTGCTGGTGTTTCAGAAAGCCTTGAAAACATGGCTGTTTTCCCAGGCTTGGGAGGTTAATGGGGCCAATGAGATGGATGCTATTTGTAGTGACTGTTGTCCTTAGCTATCACTATGTATAGATTTTTTGTTGTTATTACTGGTTGTTTTCATGGAACTTTTGTTAGCCACCCAGGGTCACTGTTGTGAGATGGGCAGCCACATAGATGTAAATAAATAAAGGTCATTGGATTGTTACTGGTGGTTGTACAATTCCACAAAAACTTTCAGGACAAAGCACTCTGCTGTGACCCAAATTTACTGAAGTCTTTACTTTGGCTTCAGCCTCGCAGCCTGAGTCCCATGCAGCCTTCCACACCCTCAGCTTTGTGGTGCTAAGGACCCGGCCTGGCAAGGTCAGAGCACTAAATGCTCCAAGCTGGGCCACGGAAAGCACTCCCTGAAATGGAGTGGCAGGGCAGTGGGTTTTGCTATAACAGCAAGGCTGACGTGGTTTGACCAGTTGGTGCCGAGGCCTCATGCCAAGCAGCACCACCCATGTCCTCTTGTGCCATGGCAGGTGCTACTTCAAAGGAGGCACCAGGCTTTCCAGGCAGGCGTGGCAGGAAGGTGAGGCTTGGCCAGGGAAGATGGGCTGGAGGCTAGGGAGAGTAGAGACAGCTGAAGAGGTCTGGCCACCCCATCCCATGGTCTCCCTCTGCCAGGCAAGGAGTGAGAAAGACAGCAAGCAAGCAAGCTTTTTTTAGGTTTTTTATCCTGCCTTTATAAATAACTCAAAGCAGCAAACATACCTAAAACTCCTTCCTCCTCCTATTGTCCCCATAACAGCAACCCTGTGAGGTGAATTGGGCTGAGAACAGAGCGATTGGCCCAAAGTCACCCAGCCGGCTTTCATGCCTAAGGTGGGACTAGAACTCACCATCTCCTGCTTTCTAGCCTGGAGCCTTCACCACTAGACCAAACTGGCTTTTTCCTAGGGATTTGGCCAGGCAAGAAAAAAGAAAAGACTAAAGCAAATTCTGCTCAGCGAGAGGAAAAAAAAAAAAAAGTTTTGGGCAGCTCTGGGACAGGTTTCCTGCACTGTATTATATTAGATATATCTTGAAAATATTACTTTTCAAAATATGCGTTCTGGTTAACAAAAAGCATGGATGGATGGTTTTGCATTAACTTTTTATTTAATGAATGGATGTTTAATGACATGTTGCAATAACCTTAATTTTTGTCTCAGCAGACACATTTATATCAATGCCTGAAAAGGCTTCAGCCTCAGACTAACAAACCTGTCTTCATGCAACATGAGGGAAATGGATAAAAGTTGGTTCTTCCAGCTGCTTGCTTAGTCCAGTACTGACTTGCTCTCAACATGTATCTCTTCCTGGTTTCCTTCAATTTTAACTCTTTACGCTATCCACTTTTACTTACTTGGCTTCTGTGGTGTTCTGAGTTGTTTTAACTGCTACTTTTAAAATGTTTTTTAGAACTTGGGAGAATCTTATATTTTTTTAATGACATATTTTGATGTAAGCCATCTTGGAACATAAGTCCTGAAGAGGGCATATGAATACTTTGCCTAGGCTACATTTATTTGTTTTGAAAAGTCAGGCATTTGCTGAAAGTTTTATATGTGCTATACTTTGTGTCTGTGCACTAAAGAGTGAAAAATGTAATTAGGGAAGAAATATGGTTAAAGGGATTAAAAATTTTTAGAATTATGACACTGAATTCATGCATTAAACTAAGTCATTATGTGGTGTGTGTGCAAACCTGCTTAAGGCTTGTATGAATCCAGCCAACAGCAGCCTGTTTAACAAACCATGATTTATTGTGAAATGAAAACCCCATCACACTGTAGATACACACGTCAAACAGCTCTTCCCCTGAGCTGTGTTTTTGTTTTACCGTTGCCCCATACTCACCCCCCCCAACCCTCATTCAGTCAAGTGTTTCCAGCAAAGTTCAACCATCAGAATCATCAGTAACCCCATTCATTTTATTGATGTTGGAAGCACGCCTGGAGGAGAAAACAGACAGCAGCTCCCTCACAGCTGGACAATACTTCAGAGGATTCTTAAGGATGAGTTATCATTGGGAATGTTATAATTGCTTTTTTTGCCTTTTCTGGTTTATGAAGGGTTGTTCTCCTCTTTCAGGTAATCCTTGTAAATCCTCCTGAAGAGTTTAATTTTTTTTTCTGGAGGCTGCTGCCAGTCATACCAAGGATACCATGATGTCTTGCTACACAAAGCTGGGGATGGAGGAGTCTTGGAAACAGCTGGATGCCAGTTGCTCCAATCCATATCTTGGAAAGAAATCAAGGGAGTGCTAACAGGTAGAAGTCCTGAGAAAGGAGGCACAAGAGAAAATATATCAGAAAGAAGACAATTATTGATCTGGTTCACACCTCCCATCAAGCTGTAATAGAAGGTTAGGAGTTTTTCTTAGCTTAGCATATCCTATGAATCGAGCCACTGTGAGCTTATAAACCATGGCATACAGTGGATAACTTATGGCTCACACGTGGGTCCCAGCATCCCATCCACAACCTCCAAAGCACCCCAAGAACACGCCACTGAAATCTGGCAGCAAAATGGCGAAGGGAGTGGTGAAAGCAGAGAAAGAGCAGAAATGAGTGTGCAAGCTTTCTACGAGGTGAGTCACTCCTATCCTCACCCTTGATGCTCTGAAAAGTCCAAAATTGATACAAGGGCCATACAAACACTCACTAGCTTTCACATAACTCTGTCCCATTTCCCAAACCCAATTTATGCTACTCACCATTGTCTTGAGCTTGATTAATGGCTCTGATTAGCTCCTTATATTTCTTCATACACACCCCTGCAAAGCAAGGGAAAGTGTGTTTCCAAAGCTAGTAAGAGAACACTGTGGCAAACAAAAAAACTTAATAATGAAATACAGGTAGTCCCCATTTAGCAACCAAAACTGGGATTGGCAACTTGGTCATTAAGTGAAGCGGTTACTAAGCAAAACCGTGACTGTGCTTATGATCCTATTTCAGCTTTTCTTTGCTTTACAGACCTGTGAAGGTCATAAATGCAAGGATTAGTCATAAAGTTGCTTTTTCATCACTGTTGTAACTGCGAATGGTCGCTAAACAAGGACTACTTGTTACATCGAAATCAGCGTTTCCAACTTTAAAACATCTATCTTTGGATTTTGTACACACTATTTTGGATATACCCAGGAACAAATACTTCTGGATGCATCTGCCACTTCATTAGTCACCTGAAGTCCAACTGAGGAAAATTCTTTAGAGATCAGTTAGATTTCTACCAGGGACTTTTCTGTTCAGCACTCCATTTATGGACTACACACTCTGGAAGGTTTGCCAGGAACCTTCACTGATAGCTTTTAACACAGCACTTTTAAGATAGTTTATTCTCCTCTGGTAGACCGTGATTAAATAGTTGACTAAACACTTCTGGCTTGGGATTTATTTACTAGAAATTAGCTTGTTATTTGGTTGACCTTGTTTTTAAATAAGGTGCTTGAACATTCAAAGAGAAAAGACAAAAAACAGTTTAAAATACAGTTTAAAAGCCTGAACTGCTTTCAGAGCAATGGAAGAATGCAAAATGTCACTCCGTACACATTGATGTAACCTAGCGCCATCTCTTCTGACTTACAGTTCTCCCCAAATCTCAGTCAGAGAAAGGTCATTTCCACCAGCAGCCACTAGATTCAGCTGCTCATGGCTCCTTGCTGTGATGGACTGGAATGGAGGAAGGGGGGTAAAAATGGTGCTCTCGTCTCCAGAGCAACGCTCTGGAGATAAGCGGAGAAAGCTGGCGCATC